CAGGGGACTAAGCCTACACAAAACAAAAACAGCTGTATTCTTTCTGAAAGAAGCTGAAACTGCTATAATGAGCATGGTACGTTAATTCCCCCAAAAACGGAGCAACCGGAAATTCTTAACGCATTTACACATTTCCTAGCGTTAATGTCCAATAATATTGCTGTATGCAGGCATTACAGTAACCTGTCGGCGTTCCATGGCCCATGTTTAAGTCAGAACATTGTCAAAATATTTCAGCGCTAAAGCGGAAAGCCAGCGAAATAGTGCGGCATGAATCGGAAAACATCGCAGATTTCTACATGCATAATCATTCATTTTGTCAGGTCAGGTCCCCTTAAAGCCTGTTCTGTACTTGATCTTGACATATGTGGCTAGCAGCTGAAGCACATCTAAATATCGACAACGAAGGCTTGACTTTCACGTCATCTCCATGGATTGCCACCAGGCATTTATCGCACCACATATTTAAACGCAGGACGCAACGTCGCAGACTCACTGTGCCTAGGCCCATCATGAATGATTACAGGACTCACATAGCGTAAACATACATTAATTGATTTAACTGATAATTTATCTATTAAGACCATGTCTGCAAACCCTTTGACTCAAACTCGGACCAAGAGCCTGAGCTGGACTCCTGCAAAGTGTGCCGGTCTGATTCAGGCTGCCGCGGATATTTTCGTTGGAACCAATCCCTGAAGATGATGAGGGCCAGCTGTCACCGCAGAACAAGTACACTCATGTTTTGCAGACGTTTTCGATGGTTTATTCATAGGTCTCCGAGGGTCTAACGACCAGCAAATGCATAGGGTGCCTGGTTGACAAGTCATTAATACGTCGGTACACACCTTTCTCGCTTTGCGTTCTTTGCTCCGATTTTGGTTTCGTGCTCCATCAAAGATTGCCTTAATTCTCCTACCGCAAATGAAATATTTTCAACTTAATCAATCTTATAATTATATCTGGATTGATTTTGCTGTAGATGGTGCAAATACACGCATACCAAGAAATGGAGAATTCACCATCCCATTGCTCCTATTCCGACCAAAAACAAATCTCATTTGGACGGAATAAACAACATAACGCATGACATTTTACTAGCCCGATGTTCTTGTGCTAGCGTACAAACAACAACAGATGACCATCGGCATGGAGTCTAAAGAAATATCCTCCGCTACAACCCAGTCTGCACAAGCAACATCAGATAACCATCGGCATGGAGTCTGAAGAAATCTCGTACGCTTCAACCCAGTCTACACAAGCAACATCAGATAACTATCGGCATGGAATCTGAAAAAATGTCCTACGCTACAACCCAGTCTACAGTTGTTTTTACCGGGCCAGAAATCGCACGCAACAGAAATTCGGTTCCAAGATAGCAGGATCTATCATCGTTCAGATCTGAGCGATGAGTGCCAGTGTGCTATTTAATCGGTTCATTAGTGGCGAGACGCCCACAAAATAGCTAGATCACAGTCATGCTCCAAAGCCGAGGTTTGCATAAAATAAGCTCTGGGATTTCTTTTACGTCGTGATTTCCCTAAAGGACTCGTAATGTGGGCTGAGAAAGTCATGCAGGTTTATTTCCAACGTGGAACGCCAAGCCATGCAACCTTGGATCGCTCAGTCAAAAAGACAAAGTTATTTTCCCCCAAATTTGGGCTCTGCGAATGATTCATGACCCGATAACGAGTTGAAGAAGGAAATGCTTCCATATTTCCATTACTTTCATTCGACGTACCAGGAAAACGGGCTGTAACGCACACCTCAAACGTCCACGCGTGTTACTTATCGTATGATGGGTGATGCATATCCATACGAAATCCCGGTAATGTTTCTCGCGCTACTCATAGCCTCGACTCTTCTCGATTTTTCCGAATCGCCAAAACTCCGATCTTACTTTTCTAAGGAATACAACACACGTGGTCGCAGACCATTCTACTCAACACCCGAGACCGCAGCGTTCGCAAAGCCTTGCGGGCATGCCTCACCCGAGATTCTAACTCGGATCTTCCACGTGAGAGCCCACGGTCCTAACCCAATGTCTTCTCTACTGATGCTTGTACGAATTGTAGGCACTTTTTAACGCGACATGCCACGGCTCACACAACTCTACCCCCAACAATGATTCTTCTCCAGAAGGTGAACTGCATCAAGTGCTGGTTTCGTGAGGATAGCAAACATCTCTGCTCTATTTACTCATACGTTGGCCAAGCTGTATGTATGCGTAAATTCGTTAAGGTTTTCTACCTGTACCAATTAGTTTGAGCTCGTCAATACCGTAATGCATTTCGCCACTAATGCATATTTGGGTCATTCGCTGGTCCAGTTCCGTCGTCGAATGAACGGATCAATAATGCATGAATTCATACAATCCACAGTCGTAAGTCCTTTCTTAAACCTAAAAGCAAAGGATCAAGGATCAGAGATCAAGGCATAAATAGATTAGCTATGACATAAAAAACTTAGGCACATTCGTCCAAAACTAACTTACTTGCTCTTCGTAAACTTGTCGTCCTCCTGAATAATTGGTACGCGTGATCTCTGGGAGCCCTTACAATGGCCACCTCAACTTGCCCTGGCTAGCGAACATTTGGGAACTAACAACTACTTAAGGCTTTGCAGTGTAGTTTCGCAGGAAAGTTTCGGACCGATTTGGCTGATGATGCTGAGTGCCCAGAAGCAGCCGTGCTTTATCATCAGAACTTCTCAGATCACATATTTCACGTGCCCTCTTACTTCAGAAGCGATAGGCGTTCTGATCATGCTTCTGACACGCGAAACTGCATGCTTCATTGGCGACGCGCCTACCACGTGATGGCCCGGACCCAACATCCAGCAGACAACACGGGCCTTCACCCAGAGCTCAGAGCTCCGCTCTGCTTCAGGACGGCCGTCCTGGTCTTGGAAACACCACTCTACTTCTTGGTTTTTGGTTGACTGTAGTTTTCCCTTTGGTTACTGGCTTCGGAGTCCACTCAAAGGCGGATAGGGGGCGCATTATGCCCAATCGAAGTGAATGAGGTGCTGAGCGTCCCCTATCACCTCTGTGAAGCCCTCTGCCTGAAATAAGGTGCCACTGCTCAGGAACCGTGCAAGTCCTCCCAGGCTGGGTGCTTCCGAGTTTGCGTTTATCAGCGCTCCCCACAAAAATTATGAGGCACACTTCTACTTGTTCCTGGCGCGTCCCTCTTGCCACGCTTGAGGGCGCACATCTCGATTTAGGTGCTTCTCTGATGAGACTTGAGGGACACCTGTACTTTAGCTTGGGGCACCCAATTACCTACAGACTTCGGGTGTCCCTCTACAAGGACATTGGGACGTCCTCCTGACAAAACTGCAGCCTCGCTCCACTCCAACTCTGAGGACGCCGCTTATCCTAATCTTGTAATGCCTCTCCGCTGAGTCCTGGGCGTATTTTTGCCTCGGATTGGGGAATGGGGGGCGTCTCTCCACCGGAGCTTGGGGCGCATTCTATCTGGATTAGGGGCGTTTCGCCGTCCGGACAGATAATCGTCATGTGACTTTGGCTTGGGGACACCGTTCTGGTTGGGTTCCGGGGCCGCTCATCCCTGGCTTTGTGTGACGAGGGCCGCCTTCCTGTGACACAGCGATAAGGTTTTCCACAGGTCAGGCATGCTTTATCAGTGTACCGAGCGGCTGACTCACTATGCAGACTACCTTAAGCACCGATGCATCCACGAACTGCTATGAGCAAAGGCTACTCAGATAACCGATCTCGCCGTCCACCAAGTCATGTCTTGCGTTGGCCTTTACACATGAGCAGCGCATACTATTCTGGCCGGGGTCACGGGTCACTTCTGCCCGATCCGAGCAGCCGCTCTCGGCGCGCTCGAGCCGGGTCGTGGGCGGGTCCGGTCCGGTCGGCCGGCCCGGTCGGCCGGCCCGGGCGGCCCGCCCGTCGGCCCGCGGTCTCCAGGCAGGCCAGGGCCGTTTCGTCAGCGGGACGGCCCACCCCCGTCTGGCCCGGCCGCTGCTCGCCAAAACAGTGTATCTGGGCGGCCGTCGGCCGGGAGGAGGCCTGTTCTGGCCGGCGTCCGGCCGCCGGGGATCGATACCCCGGGGGCCAGTCCCGCCGGCGCCAGGGCCGCCAGACGACGCGACCGCAGCGCCATCTGCCCCGCCGACCTCCTCCGCGTCCCAGCACCTCGCGACGGGCACCGTCGGAGCCGACGGCGCGTGAGAGGTGCCGTGTCCGACGCGCCCGCGGCAGTGCTTTGCCAGCGATGGGTGGCGTGCCCGTCTTGTCACCTCAGTCCTCACCGTCGGCCGCTGCCAGAGCCAAGGCCGGGCCAGGGAGGTCGTTCCGGTCGCCCCGACGAAATTCGCCCCGGCGGCAGGCCGCAATGCTGACTGGGGCAGCGAGGCGCGGTAGAAAACAGTTCTCCGAAGAAGGAACACGTGACGGCAAACCAAAGACAAAATACCGCCGACCAGTGAGCAACAGTTCGTTATAACGGGAGAGACGGCCAGAGGACGCGGTCCTCTGTATGGGGGGGGGGGGGGGGGGGGGTGGGTAAATAGCCCCTTTCACAGCAGGAGAGTAGCTTCCATCAACAACATACTTTTCCTAGTGCGTTTGCCTGGCCCCCAAAAACGTATAATGGTTGGTGGGGTGCGACTCCGAACGGAAGATTTGTTACCTGACGGTCGGCAGAAACAAGTATCTTTGTTAGCTCTTCGGCACCCGCGAACTAGGTTTAGAACGCGAGGCTCCAATGGCATGGTAGCTAACCGCTGATTCCCGGGTGGGCAGGTAACTTATGCCGAGCGCGGTCTCTCAAAGGGACCGGAAAGCAGTCACATACAGATGGTGACAAAACAAGACAGGCCAAGCTTCCTCCACTGAACGTCTCACCCTGACTCATAAAACGGCGCCGCGCGCAGGCGTCTTCATGGCGATGTTCACCTATCAGGGCATGGGGCACCCTCAGCAGGTCTCCGACTCAGAGGTTTTCAGCAGGGGGACAGATACTCACCAGAGCGGCGCAGAGAGCAGCGACAGATCCGCCACCTGGGGCGGCCGAGCGCGCTGCCACCTGGCGGACGAACTGGGAGACGGGCAGGGCGGCCAGCCGGCCGGCCGCCGGCGCCGGCAGCCGGTACTCGATGATCCGCTGGCTGAAACCGACGGCCGTCATGACGTCATCCGGTGACCTCAGCGTCCACTGGGTGCGGCGACAGGCGCCGATTGTCCGTCTGCAGCCGACTGTCATCGCCTGCGACCCCCGGCGAGCATGGTAACGGACGCGCGGCGGTAAAGGCCCGTGACGAGGAGGCGGCCGGGGCCCGCACAGGCCGCGGGCTGGATATGGCGGGATCCAGACGGCGGCGGGATGACCTGGGGTCGAGAATCGTGAGGGGAAGAGACGGCTCGTGCCTTGGTATTGGAAGCTTTGCTGGACACGGCAGACCCTTGCGTCGTGACTGCGCCACACTAACGGCGAGATGACTCTGCTCTCGCGGACGCAAAGGCGGCGAAATGCAAAGCGTCCGCCGTCGGCGTGCGAGCGTGCTAACCGCTAGACCTAGCCCTGGAGGTCTGTTTGGTTGTGCTTGGCGGAGCGAGCCTCCCTTTGTGCGTCCGGGAAGAAGGCCGGCGGTGACAGCGACAAACCCGCGCTCCGGAACTTCCACACACCGACCGATGACTCAGGGAGTCGACGGCGAGTTGAGTCAGAATTATCGCTGCGAAAATTACGACTTCATTCGGCGAAGCGAAGTCGAGGGTCGGATTTAATCTGCGGACTGTGCGGGCGCTGCTGCGAGCAGGGGCGACAGGAACCAAAAACTCGTTGGTGGTTTTAACAGACCTGTGATGACCGTTGATATCGCCCAATTTGAGCATGTTGATGGGCCTAAATGCAGCTCAGTTTATACCCTTTACAGTTGTGGCTATTTCAATGGACGTCAGTCGTTTCCATGCCTGCGGCGCCGCGCTTCATATGTTCATGAATGTGACCTTTGGTCAGACCGCTGTTCCTACGTATACCGGGCGTTCCAGAAGTAAGGGAACGCTGCTAATGTCACACAACTCGGCTTCCATGTAGCACCAAACAATGCAAGCCCGTCCGTGGATTCAAAAAACGTGAGAGTGATACATGGATACCAAAAGACTCACTCCAAGACTGCAGATCAGCAAAATCTGTTGTAAATAACAAAACAAAGCCTGATATCACCTCCTCGACATGCGCTCCCCGGTGTTACAGGGACGTGCTAATCTTATGCGTGAATTTTGTTGTATGTCGGCAGAGAACCTTAGAGATGAACGCTACGATCGCTTCCACAGGTGCCTTAAGACCCTGCAAGTCCGCGGTTTTGTCTTGAAATCCTGGTCCTCTCCGTGACCCCATAGAAAAAGCCCAGGGGCTTAAAGTCAGAGTGACGTGCTCATATGTTGTCGGTCTTGGATAATATGTCTCTTCCTCCAAAGCCCTCGCAGAACAGGCCTCTTGCTGCGGTCGCTGCGTGGGATAAAACGCCATCTTCCTAGAACGATTCCGAAGAGAGGCCAGTCTTATGCGACGCCGGATACGGATGGCAAATTTGCGGACGATCTCGCAGAAAAGGGTTTGGGTCACCATCACGATTTCTCTCTCTCTCTCTCTCAATCACCGCTTTCGAACTAAAAAGTCCCGGTGATGCCTCGTGGGCCCATGGCGACCCTGTTGTTCCATGGCGACCCTGTTGTTCCATGGCGACCCTGTTGTTCCATGGCGACCCTGGTGTTCCATGGCGACCCTGTTGTTCCGGTTCGGTGATTGAGCCCGGGGGCGCGGCAAGGCTTTCCTCAAGGGTAGCGGCCCGGAATTCGGCGAGTACGTATCACGCCGATATCCAACTTTTGTCGGGAGCCACCTGTAGTAAAACATGAAAAATCCGGACCTAGGGAGAGGAGGGGAGGGACACATTGGCTGCGCTACTGATCACGCCTGTCCACCGCTGGCAAATGAGCCTGTCTGAAAACCAGACGGGGCTCAATCCGTACGCCATTTAGGTTCGCCTAGTCCTCAAACCAGCGAGACACTCTTAACCTCACCGCCCTGTCATCCCCGCTCAGGACGTCCGAAGCGTGTGGTTTGTATGCATGGAAGTTAAGGCCTTCCTTCAAACGGCGTTGGAGTGTCGCCTTCACATGCCAAGTCTCTGAGGGCGTCGACGTAGGAGTCTTAGGGGTAAACCTCCACAAGCACCTTCACCAAATCGATGGTACCCCAGACCGAAGCAGTGGCCAGCTTGCTCTCGGAAGATCGAGAACAGACCTCTGCTCCTCAAACCTGCCACGTCACGCCCAGAGTCAGGCGGCTAACCAGGATTGATGAAACCGCCTGCTAAGCTCTCATTACAGGACTCTCCAAGACACCAATCAGGCTCAGTTGCATGACTTATCGAATGGTGTGCATTTAAAATCTATGATGCAATTACTTGGATAGAAAATGTGTATCATGCTAGCACGATATTTAGCGATCTCGCATTCGGTCATCTTTTGGACCCAGAACGAAATCAATCAGTTTTTTACACGATTCCACTTGCTCATCGGTAGGGTTTTGAACACAAATGTGTAGTATTGCCACATCTGACTTGACAAATTTGCATGTGCCGATACGTTTCTGTCTAGCCAATGTATCTACCTGCGTCTAAGTCCACTATGACAGGTAGTGCTAGCGCTTAGATTATTGAATCACCCGGAAGAGCATTTAGACGTGCGTTTTATCCTCTGTATCTCTGCGCAGTGGTGTCTAAATGCTTTGACGATATATCGCACGGTTTGGTTGCCTATTGAGTGTTTGACTGTGCGAGTAAACACTGCATTCGTTGTTCACTTCCATAATTGATTGAAGGCATGTCGGTCTGTTTTAGGCGCGCTGTTTTTGATTTTCACATTCCTCTTAAGGGAGCGCGACGCGCGTCGTCACGCTCTTACGTGGAGCGCCAGCGACTGCATTGGCCACATCAGCGCTCAGGAGCCATGGCGCAGCCGGGATTCGAACCCGGGCCCCAACGTGGGAGCCCCGCGCGCTAACCACTCGGCTATTACGCGCCCATCTTTTCATATCTCCGTATCGAGGACGGGGAGTCAAGACCGTCAAAACGTCATTTCAAAACTTAAAAATTGCTATACCCGTTTCGCGGACGTTCCATACATTGACATCTATGCCCCCACAGCAGAAGCAATGTTCTTAATTCTGTTACGTTGCCGGTGTTTGAATGGTGTCACGCATCTTTGGCGCTATCACATAAAAATAATGACATTGAAGCAACACACGTCAAACCTAAGGCCGACAATATGCAATGATGACAATGCCGATGATATGACAATATGCAATAATGGCAAGATGCCAATATGTAATAATGACAAGATGACAACGTGCAATAATGACAAGATGACAATATGCAATAGCTGATTTGTTTCATTAAGTATGACGAATTCGACTTAAGTATTAAGTACCTTTGTAAGCCTCATCCCTTGGCAGCTTAACAATCACATGTTTTGCTACTAGGCATCTGTCATGCTTTCTGAGAATGCCATTTTCACAAGCTTGTGCAATTGAAACGACGGCTAATTTCGCCTCTTTTTTGGTCGTGCCGCATTTCTGCAGGCAGGCTAGAGCGGGTTACTGAGGATTATTCTGGGCTGTTGACCAGCATTAGACCGAGCTGGCCAGAGGAACTGTAAAACCCCACGAGGTCAAAACGGGCCGACCAAGCTTAGATCCCCCATTTTGGGCTTGCTGGATCTGCTAAATTCAATATTTGTTTTTACCTGCCTACGAACACAAGACGACGCAACGCAACAAAGAATTTTCCGTGTGTGAGCAGACTGACAAACTCGCGCCTGACCTCCGGCTACAGGGGCAGGTCCTTCGCTCCAGAGGACCTCGAAATCACTGCCGTTAAGCTCGTGAAGCCGGCCTGCAGGCACCAGAGCACGGGCCGTGACCCGGAAATTTCGGGTCACGTCGCTTTGACCTTCATCTGGCTCTTAACAGGCGGCGGGGGCACAAACCAGGGCCCCCCGTCTGACGGGCAGCCCTCGGCCAGTAGAAATGGGCCTGCCTAGAGCGCCGTCCATGCACCATTAGCTGATGGGGGAGTGTGGCCCGCGCGACGACAGCCGCTTGACTGGACAGCACCGACTGGAAATAATGCAGCCGTGGGCTCGGACAGAAACGCTGCCGACAGTTCAACTCAGTGACCTGGCCCCCCTTAACTCCCGCCCTGATTCGCCGTTTTTCATGACGTGGACTGATGGGGGGGGGAAGGGGGGGGGGGAGCGCCCCGCTAGCGCCTCCAAACTAATGAAGATGGAGCTTAGCGCAAGACATCAGTAGATTTGTATCTATAAGATCCTAGGATTGACAGTTCTTATTCTATTGGATTCATAACTGATCCCATTATAGCGGGTCAAAGGTTTTATTTTCCACAAAATCGCATCTTTTCAGCTTTACAATACATCCCTACCAGATCATGTCTTTTCACAACACGAAACTTAAACAGGCGTATTTCTTGTTAAGTTCCAAGTACAATGGCACATCTTTTCATGCGTTTTGAGCGTATATTCATAATGTTTTGCGCTGTTGTGTAGCAGTCGCGGCCCGCCACGCGCGTTCCTCGGCATGATCGGTGGCCGCCCGCCCGCCCTCTCAGGGCATAGATCACCATCCAGTGTTCCCCAAAAACCGCCGTCGCTCCGCATCCAGAAAAGCTAGGAACAAGTTTTTGGTGTCGAAACACGTCCAACGGGTTTCCCACAGGCTAATGAAAATTTGAGCGTAATTGCACATGCGGGAGAAGTATCCTCAAAAGCTTTAGGGAGGTATGCACCAACCTTCCCCGCTCGACGAAGGTATTTTCACAAAGGTGTTCTTAACGCATACGACGTGCATACATGGCCCTATAAATCTACCAAATCGCCAATAAATCGCCAATAAATAAATACAAATCGCCAAGTGTCCCGCTCGTCTCCAGAGCCTGTGAAGCCTTTCACGCGTCGCTGTGCGCGTGTATGGAGATTATCGACGCCCGCGTGGACTGAACTCGATTACCTGCGCTGGCCAGATTCCGGTAGCGAAGCGATGGGTCTGCGCTCCCCCGACAGCCCCAGCAGGATGTCGATTACC